CGTTGCTAGTGTTGGGGTCCGGGACGTTGCGGGCGACTGGCGAGATGGCATTGTTCCGATGTTGGTGAAGGGAATGGATCACTGAGAAGCTCGACAGTAAATTCGAAAGTGAACGCCTTCATTTCGAATTCGCACGATAGCATAGCACAAAACGTCGAGCATAAGGTGGAGCGACCGTTAGAGGGGCGATGGTATAGATGATCACCAATAGAAAAGTAAATCATTTGATGCCACTAATGCGTTAGAACAGCAGGTCAATGAAACACATGCTTGTATTCTTATGCTGGCAGATGACTTTTGGAAAAATGGATAAGTTCTACAAAGGACTATTGAGCCATTATTGCCTACCGTGTCGCGGTACGAATGCAACCCCCGGACCGCCGTACTTAGAATTTCAAAGCGCGAAGGCGGGAGGATTCTCTCCGACAACAACATTCAGATTTTTTTAATTAAGCACGGTGTCAGGGCAAAATTTGAATTAATAGCCATTTCAGATTTAGTCTTTAGAACATGAGAAAAGACATGTTTAGGATCCTAAACAGACTACGGATTCACTCCATTTATACTAGAGTGTTCGAGCTCTTACACCATGGTATGACTGTTGCGGCTAGAATTCGCTCATGTCGATTATCATCATTCCTTTCTCAAAAGTGGAGACCTGATTGAGGAGCTGTAGACGGCGTGCTGTCTTGTCCGCATCCTCTCGGAGCAGCTCAGCCACCTTCTCATCCGTTGCAGCGCCCAGTAACTCACTCTCCATTTCACGCAGGAACGTATCTAGCAACAAGCCATTCAACTTCATAGGAACCACATCGACGAACCGATGAGAAGCTACCTCCAGATACGCACGTAGCGCTGCCTCCATCTCCAAAGCTTCACGATCGTCGGAAGGCATTGCAAAAGGTCCCATAGAAACTCCTTCAAGCGCTTTTGACACGTCGGCTAGAGAAACCATCCCGTACTTGTCTCCACGTGGAAGTGCAGCTTCCAGTCGGGCATGCAAAGCTCGTTGACGGAGTCTGTCCAGCTCCTCGTATAGACGTGGATCTTGGGTATAAGGTCGAGCTTCATGCTGTAGCAACAGCTCCAGTTCTCGAAGAGCAGCTTCCTTCAACTTACCGAGCACTCGATCAGTTGTTGTCGTAAAGAACCACTCGACGCGAGTGCTTTTGCTACCTGCTAAAACCGTTGAAATGAGGTGGTGGGATGTAGATCTCGTCTGAGTGTAGTAGTGCTCCAGTAATTTAAGTGTAGGACGCTTCCAGTTTCTCACACTTCGTTGCACACAGCTGCAAAACACGCGGTAGGACGGGAAAATAGTAAGTTCGTCGCCTCGGTTCGCTTGAATGAACTCTTTCAGGCCCATTGAACCATTATTCGTCGTGAAACCAGACGCGAATTTCCAGCGTGAAGCACCCAACCATTCGTGCGGTAATTCTGCACACAAAACATCAGTTCCACGCGTCTGCAGCACTGTCCAAACCATCATTTCTTGACTCTCTATCACGGCAATGCTGTCTCCCACAGCAACATCCTTTTGAGATCTTGGGCCTCCAACTACTACCTTCTTCGGCGACAACGAATCACCAAATTCAAGCAGATCGTTCACCTTAGTAGCTTCGACTTCTGCCCGAAAAAAGAGGTCTTTCTGTCGTAGCCCAGCTCTCAGTCGCACTTCGGGCGTCGCGCTGGTATCATTTGACGAATCAATTGGTGACAAGAGTTCATACTGGCCGCTCATGGCAGCTTCCATTAGACGTAAATACTGGTTGACCCATTTGCCAAACTGTTGGCGCTGCGCTCCGGGCGTCTCTAGCGGCGTTCCCAAACTCGACAACGACTGTCGTGTTTCAGCAATACGAGAATTAATCTCTGTGATCACCTTTGGTAGCGAACGTCGGATATTATCTTGCAAGATTGCAACCAACCGCTCCGCCAGCTTCGGGACACCCCACAGATGTGTAGGTAGTCGGTTCCAGTATTCGTGCTGACCGAAGAAGGCGATCTCATTCGCCAAACCTTTCTCGATACTCATTCCTTTGCTCAATTCACGCTGGTTACGGCACTTCACGGCG